TCACCATTCCTGTGAACGTTCCACATTGCAAATCTGCTGATAAAATTCCGTCATCATTCCTGTGAACGTTCAGCATTACAAATCTGCTGATAGAATCCTGTCACCATTCCTGTGAACGTTTAACATTACAAATCTGCTGATATAATTCTGTCACCATACCTGTGAACGTTCCACATTACAAATCTGTAGATAGAATTCTGTCACCATTCTTTTGAACGTTCAACATTACAAATCTGCTGATAGAATTCTGTCACCATTCCTGTGAACGTTCAACATTACAAATCTGCTGATAAAATTCTTTCACCATTCCTGTGAACGTTCCACATTGCAAATCTGCAGATAGAATTCTGTCATCATTTTGTTGAACGGTCAACATTACAAATCTGCAGATAGAATTCTGTCACTATTCTTTTGAACGTTCAACATTGCAAATCTGCAGATAAAATTCTATCATCATTCCTGTGAACGTTCAACATTACAAATCTGCTGATAGAATTCTTTCACCATTCCTGTGAACGTTTTACATTGTAAATCTGCTGATAGAATTCTGTCACCATTCCTGTGAACGTTCAACATTACAAATCTGCTGATAGAATTCTGTCATCATTCCTGTGAACGTTCAACATTACAAATCTGCAGATAGAATTCTGTCATCATTCTTTTTCGATTCCAACCATCTCACGGTTCACAATAGAGGAATATTAACGGAAATGCTAATAAAAACAGTAGATCTGTCTTCTAATTGGGAGAATAATTATATTGATATGAGCTGCAGTTGCAAGTGCTCTCACAAAAGATACAAATCCCCTCCCCTCCCAAAAAAAAAACAAAAGAAAAGAAAAGAAAAGCATTGCGACGTATTATAGAACAACGGCAACCGTTTGGTTTATCTTTCATATGCTCCAATTTAAAACCTTAACCTCACATTTTTAATCTAGAAAATCTATACGAGATACAAAAAAAAAATAAATAATAGCTAATCGATAGAGTTGATAAAAAAAAACTTTTTATATCACAATTTTCGTATGAATTTGTTCAGCTTTTCTAAAAATCACTTATCAAGGATTTTATACATCAAGTGTGTTTGGTCTGTTCTATATAACTTTATACATCAAGTGTGTTTGGTCTGTTATATATAACTTTACACATCAAGTGTGTTTGGTCTGTTATTATATAACTTTATACATCAAGTGTGTTTGGTCTGTTCTATATAACTTTATACATCAAGTGTGTTTGGTCTGTTCTATATAACTTTATACATCAAGTGTGTTTGGTCTGTTCTATATAACTTTATACATCAAGTGTGTTTGGTCTGTTATATATAACTTTATACATCAAGTGTGTTTGGTCTGTTATTATATAACTTTATACATCAAGTGTGTTTGGTCTGATATTATATAACTTTATTATACATCAAGTGTGTTTGGTCTGTTCTATATAACTTTATACATCAAGTGTGTTTGGTCTGTTATATATAACTTTATACATCAAGTGTGTTTGGTCTGTTATATATAACTTTATACATCAAGTGTGTTTGGTCTGTTATTATATAACTTTATACATCAAGTGTGTTTGGTCTGTTCTATATAACTTTATACATCAAGTGTGATGGTCTGTTATATATAACATTATACATCAAGTGTGTTTGGTCTGTTATATATAACTTTATACATCAAGTGTGTTTGGTCTGTTATTATATAACTTTATACATCAAGTGTGTTTGGTCTGTTCTATATAACTTTATACATCAAGTGTGTTTGGTCTGTTATTATATAACTTTATACATCAAGTGTGTTTGGTCTGTTCTATATAACTTTATACATCAAGTGTGTTTGATCTGTTCTATATAACTTCATACATCAAGTGTGTTTGGTCTGTTCTATATAACTTTATACATCAAGTGTGTTTGGTCTGTTCTATATAATTTTATACATCAAGTGTGTTTGGTCTGTTATTATATAACTTTATACATCAAGTGTGTTTGGTCTGTTCTATATAACTTTATACATCAAGTGTGTTTGGTCTGTTCTATATAACTTTATACATCAAGTGTGTTTGGTCTGTTATTATATAACTTTATACATCAAGTGTGTTTGGTCTGTTCTATATAACTTTATACATCAAGTGTGTTTGGTCTGTTCTATATAACTTTATACATCAAGTGTGTTTGGTCTGTTATTATATAACTTTATACATCAAGTGTGTTTGGTCTGTTCTATATAACTTTATACATCAAGTGTGTTTGGTCTGTTATTATATAACTTTATACATCAAGTGTGTTTGGTCTGTTCTATTTAAACCATTGTGGTAACGTCAGCCTATTCATTTACCGTGGATTCTTTTTCTAGAATCAACGCTTCCTAAATCTGCCGCTGAAATTGAATCACCAAATTATATTCAGTTGTTTCCTTTGTGTGCCTAATTTCATTAAATTTGAATTAGCTAATTTACTGATTTCTGTTCACTAATGGAATTAATTTAAAAACTTACCTTTAATTTTTGTAATTTTTATATGCCTTCACTGGGAATCGAACCCTTCCTTGAAATCTGTTATGTGTGACTGACATCAACACATCGACGAAACCTCTCGGCTACCAATGGGTTACACTATAGATGTCTATTTTATATATTTAAATGAACATCTGATATACATCGGTTCATCGGACACACAGGGCTTGTACCTTTATATAGACAAAATAGGCAGTCGTATAGTATGAGTTGGTAGCCGCGAGGTTAGCATGGTTAAAATCAATGAGTTAAAGATAGGGATTTGTTTAGGTTCGAATCCCTGTGTTCTCTCTGTTGTTCCAATTCTTAAGTTATACTGTTTTTTTTCTAAATTTGCATGTTATAGTGGATATTTTTGTAATAATAGCGAGTTTTACCGGGTTTTTTTTTATTAACGGCTATTTCACATGTTTGAAACAAAAATGATTACTTTCTATTTGTCAATTTTTGTTTTATAAATATAGTATGATTTCATCTGTTTTACTACATAATTTTACAAAGGTTTGTTCGCAAATTCCTATGCGAGAAAATCGTGATGTGCCTAGAGTGCTAGAAAAATTTCGATAACATACGTATTATATATACTTTATATATAATTTTGGGTCGGGTTGTTGTCTCTTTGACACGTTCCCCATTTCCATTTTCAATTTTATTAGAAATAATTTCGAATATGTCTTATCATTTGTATAAACAGATAATATTCATATGCCTGGTAATATAAATTCTTTAAAGGTAGAAGTGTTATATTTGTATTTTGTTAACCAACTAATTGTGATCTGAGATTTATCAATGCATCGTTGGACACGATAACATGGTTATTTAAACTCACTTATAATACCTTCTAATTAAGAAAAGGCTTTAATTTTGAAAAGAAATTAACACAATAGTTTAAGTTATAGATACAATGGATAAGCGTAGATTCATGAAAAACAAACCATTCGCCCTCCGGGCTCATGGTTTCTTTTTCAAGAATCCACGCTTATCCATTGATCTATATAACATAACTTTATACATCAAGTGTGTTTGGTCTTTTATATATAACTTTATACATCAAGTGTGTTTGGTCTGTTATATATAACTTTATACATCAAGTGCGTTTGGTCTTTTATATATAACTTTATACATCAAGTATGTTTGGTCTGTTATATATAACATTATACATCAAGTGTGTTTGGTCTGTTCTATATAACTTTATACATCAAGTGTGTTTGGTCTGTTATATATAACTTTGAATGTATTACATTTTTTTTCTAATTGCAATTATTTAAATAAAATAAATTTATGTTTTAGTTCTGAAACAGCTGGTAAACACAATGATTTATCTACTCCGGTAACAAGCCTGATTAATTGTTGTTTTGAGAGCAAACTTTTAGAATTAATATCATATGTTAAATGTATGTAGCTTAAATCATACCTGCAAATAAACATTATATGTTAAATGTGTGTAACTTAAATCATACCTGTAAATAAATATTATATGTTAAATGTGTGTAACTTAAATCATACCTGTAAATAAATATTGCATTGTTAGAATGTTCACTGAAAAAAATGCGTTCTCTATAATAACATTTACTTTCAGTCCTTCAAAGATTTGTTTTTATTTTATTGAAAACTGTCAACCTTCGTCTTTTCAAAATAAAATCACAGGTTTTGTCACTTAATCTAAACATATCTTGATTCGCAAATAACAATACAAATTTCTGACAGTCTGTCGAATTCATAAACTTATTATCAATGCTAAAAGTTTCAGCAAACCATATACAAGACAATGTAAAATAACATGGTTTTCATCTTTAACAATTTTAAACAATTAATGCAACTCTATTCCAGTGGCATATTTCCATATCTCCAAGTTTTAAGCCTAAAGTTAAAGATACTATAAGTTATAAACTAATCACGCCCATGATATCCCTGTCGGGAAGTGAATGAATGAATGCTACCAAAGCTAAAAGTGAAACTCCTTCAAGCTAAACTGACCATAAACGGTTTTTCTATTTAGGTTAATTTTGATGTTGACAAAGTGCTCTCCAACATTCTATATTTCTGGATTTCCAAACTTTTAGTATCGAGAGTACCTGTTGAAGGTTGTTCCAGTAACATGTATTACGCGCATAAAAATCATCACATTATATCATTTTAAATTCTTTACATCGAGGAAAGAAAGTTTGAGTTGTCTCAATCTGTTTTTTCCCTCTTTATTTTCAATTTCTGACGTGGTCTAAATGTGTAGCTTATAATTCATCTTGTAGATACATTTTAAATGTACGTCGTAGAAGTGGGAGAAGATTTAACATAAACAATAATAGATTTCCTTGCTTAGTGGATAAAAAAGCTACCAAATATTGTTTTTTTATGTAATTGTTTTTGGAAATAAATTTTTAATCATATACAATACTAAGGGTGTTGGCGATAATAACCTATTTCATGTAAAGTAATGTACACAACAAGTTAGTATCACGTTCACTTATAAAAACTTGGGACAACCTAAAAACATTAACAATCAAACGGTCTCTCAATTAATATAATCAGTGATTCATCTACTTTCTATAAGATTTTGACAAGGGATTAAAACTTGAGGTAATTATTATCATAGATTGTATGAACGTTAAGGTAAGTCTACTGATCTTTTTGATTGAGTTATTTAATTTGTTCCTGTTGATTCATTATTTCATTTTAACAGTTTTAGCTATCTTTATTAACAAACAAATTGAAGTAATTCAAACAGGGTATTCATAAAAATGTTAGAACATGATTTTTATAAAACAATTAGAGCAATCGAACAACCTTGTTTAACGCCCATTTATATTCGAATAATTTTATAGATAATGTATATTGTTGCATTTAACCAAAATGCGTTCTATAATGTGACTTTACTTCTCTATGCACTAAGACCTCTTTATCTTTATCATAATTAAGTACATGATACATTTGTGTAGTAACCAATGATAGCGGACCCAAAAATGAATTTAACTTTAATGAATATCAAGAGTGTATTATTAGTTTTATCACTTTTTTTATGTATGCAAGTTTTGTAAGACTTGCTGTTTCTGACCAAGGGTGTTACACGCCACTATTTACCTAAATTGCGTTGTTTGAATATTTTCACATTGTTGCTTTTTTTTTTTATCTGAAACATTAAAATAGTTTCTTCTTAAACTAAACCTTATACACCTATTATCAATTATTGTAGACATAAGATGATTGCTCGAACTTTACTGCAAACCTGGTTGAACTTCATAATAATTTTCCTCTTCGTTCAACGTAAGTATCTAAAAAGAGTGCTTATATTATTACAATTTTTTCAAGTGGAACGAAATCAGTTGATAACAAACGATTCATGAGTAATAATTTTAAGTGTCATCATTAATTTTAATTGACAATTATTAATCAAACCTTCAGTAAAGTAATTTCTCTTGTTTTTTTTTGTAATTTAGTAGAATACGTTATATATCTTTTGAAATATAACATGTTATTAATTTGAAATGAAGTTGTTTGAATTAATTTTCGTCATATTATGTAATTTTTGTTCTTACATTATTTCCTTAACTGTTTTATATGAGTATTTACATCATATAAAAGAACCGCTTTATACTTAATAAAAGCCTTTAAATTAAGGGCGAAATTTGTTGAACTTTGGTTCGAATAATAATTATGATAAGAATATAAATGAAATTGAAAATAATAATAAAAATCAACAGCACCGCTTTGTTTTCTGCGCCATAACGTAAAATTGGCTATTAGAGGCTTCTTGACACAACATAATTTATGCGTAACTGTCAAGTAAACGTAAGTATTGGACGTATAATGCATTTGTAATGGGCGGTGAAACATGCTTCAAATTGGATGATTATCTCCCGTTAACAAGAAAAAAATATCATCTATAAATAACTAAGCATATCAAATACATTATATGTATGTATGTGAGAAAGTTTAGATAATAAATTATGTCGCAAGTCGAGGTGTCTCTATTAAGTGCTGACCTGCATATAAACATACTAACAACACTCAAAAATAAATTTTACTATCAAGCTGTAAAATGTTAAAAAATACAAGAATGCATTATTTCTATACATTGATAAATAAAAGTAATGAGTTATTGTCAAAAATCAAGAACTGGAATGCAGCTGAACAGTGTTTCCAGAGAGTACTTAGTCTAATAAAAAATATGGCATTTATTCAGAGAGATGGTATAACCGCAAAAGGCATTGTTGAAAGTATCAAAGTGAAAGCGAGGGCCAATTTGAAAAAAAATAAATAAACGCACACTGTCTAAAACGAGTAGAAATAAAACACTGTCGTTTGAATGAAATCATTGAGGAATACGAAAAGGAAGTGGAAAGAAAAAAGACACGTGGGGTGATAACCCATTGATTATACCGTTGGATGGAATATATGTTTATGGAAACAATGCGATCTAGAAGAGATTGACCAACAGTTGCCTTCTGCTTTCTAATAAGTAGCGGACTGTTTAAACAAGTCTTTTAAAACACGCTTACTTTTTTTGGAGACATGATTAACAGACAATATGCCAAATCCCATAGGGTTATAAAATCCAATGTTTTTTAAAATTCAAACTGCAAAAGAACTTTATAGTCTAGAGCTATAAACTTGGTATTTATAGTAAATCTCATGTCGTTACGCACATTATGGCGTTCAGTGTTTATACTGTGAAATACAGCCATCGATAACAGAATGTAGGACGACATGATTTCATACCAGCAGGTTCAGCTCTATCAGCTGGCTTTTAATAACTGCAAACCTATTTTGATACCGTATGGTTTATTGTTTTGATGATGCTTGTGCATGATTTGTTATCAATCATAATTTTATTATATAGAGTTAATGGCTTATTTTGAACTGATCTTTTATTGTATGTTCTTTTATGCACTTTTTTGTTTGCCCGCTGATCAAATTCAAAAAGGTAAAGGTTGATATTTTAACAATGACAACAAATGTATCCGTGCCCCCATTCCAATGTGTTTGTCTTCTGTAAGGAAACTCTATCAGTAGGTTGTAATGTGTCATATTTAAATGATATTCTTTTATTATTAGGAGAATTTTATGTTGTTGACAGATCTTTGATAGTCTTTGATTTGTTTATTCACAACTTGTTCGATATGGGCCGATTAATAGCTTGCTAAATTATACAGTATCATGTCTAATGTTGTAGATTATATGTTGAACTTTACTTGTCATTTTGTTATTTGTGTCGTTGGGCTGCTGTCGCTTTTGATTATACCCCACATTTATTTTCTTACCAAAAAAAGCTGGACAATGAGAATGTTAGGACTGAGTCAAAATTCAATTCACCTAAAGCATAGAGGAGTTTCTGTGGAATCCAAAGATATAAATCAGAAAGTCGGAGGTTAAATCGCAAAGGAATAAACGAAGTTTCTACACAATAAAAAAAAACAAAAACAAAAATAACGACAAACTTTTCCAGATTGGCTGAGTTGTTGGAAAGGATTATCGAAGAGGCTGTGGTCGAAAATAGAATTGACTTTAAAGGTTATCGCGGTGACGCGATACACGTTGAGCATGACACGGTCGTTTACATGTACCATCTTTCTTCCGAAATCCATGATGTAAGCACGTTTCTCAAAGTAATTTGACACGCTCAATTAGAAGTAGAGACTAAAAGCACAACTTATTTTCACGATGAAGATGACGAAAATGAATTCAATACTCAAATAAAAGAAGATAAGAGAAATAGGTCCTCTCCTGGAGTGAAATTACCGAATTCATCTACGTATAATTGATAAATGCATTCTTGAAAGGTATGATAAAAAAAACGTTTCGCGAACATTCAAAAAAGGAATTAAACGTGAAACGTTTGCTTTTTTTCCCAATATAAAATGACGGATAACAAATAATGAAAAGTAGGTCATGTAAAAATGATCTTACTCATGAAAAATAGACCATGTGGAAATTATCTAACTCATGAAAAAAGCATTCTCGGAAAGAAATTTACTATTACCGTAAACATGAAATCATTGATATTGTAATTAATGTAATTTATCAGCTTAATCTTATTTGATATTCTCCTTGCATGGATATATCTGATAACTAATATATCAGGGATACTTTGTGCAGTGCTGTTCACTTAGTGAATTGTTAACAGCAATAGTGTGCAATAAAATATATTAGTCATGTTAAAAAAAAATCGAACTTCTTATTTTACAATAATGAACTAAAACTTAGCTCGACATTTACAAAAATAGCGAAAAGAACACTTTTCATGAATTTTTGTTTAAAAGAAAAAGGGCTCTTATCCGTGAACAGCAGTCCATCCTAAACCAAACGCAAACTCGATCTGACACGCACCACTGTAACCGGACAACTCTTTCATTTTGGAATAAATTTAGGACGGATAAGGGTACAATGCAATACTATATGCCACGGTCACTTATTAGCTGGGACATAGAATAGTGCTGACATTTTGTAGACTCCAATTGCATGACCCATTTTTGTCAATGACCAACACATGCGTCAATTCAGGCCCTCATGAAATTTGATAACAAGTTGTAATAAACTGCATGTGGGTGGATAATCAGTTTTACTCCGGACAGTTCTTTAGTTTTTTGTCCCAAAAATAACCATTTATTTAAAACTTTCAGTTGGCAGAACCGACTTTCACTGTAGAAGGAAGGGATTTTATTGTAAAAGTGGAGGAATTTGTAATGCTGAGGATGGATCATGTTCTTGTCCCGCAACTCACACTGGATACGACTGTTCATTAGATGCTGGTATCTTTTTTGTTTATTATTGAAGAATTGTTTCTTAATGTTTAGAAGTATTAATGTATAAGCGGTACCTGTACATAGATATATATGTTGCTATGCATAAAATTGAGAATGGAAATGGGGAATGTGTCAAAGGGACAACAACCCGACCAAAGAGCAGAAAACAGCCAAAGGTCACCAATGGGTCTTCAACACAGCGAGAAAATCCCGCACCCGGAGGCGGGCTTCAGCTGGCCCCTAAACAAAAATGTGTACTAGTTCAGTGAAAATGGACGTCATACTAAACTCCAAAACATATAATTGATCTAAAATTAAAAATCATACAAGACTAACAAAGGCCAGAGGCTCCTGACTTGGGACAGGCGCAAAAATGCGGCGAGGTTAAACATGTTTTGTGAGATCTCAACCCTCCCCCTATATCTCTAGCCAATGTAGAAAAACACACACACACCAATACGCACAGTAAAACTCAGTTAAAAAGAAGTCGGAGTCCGATGTCAGAAAAGGTAACAAAAGAAACTAAGCAAAATGACAATGATACATAAATTAACAAAGGACTACTAGCAGTTACTGACATGCCAGCTCCAGACCTCAATTAAACTGATTGAAAGATTATTTCTTCATCATATGAAAAACAAGCACAATCCCTCCCGTAACGGGTTTAGTATCATACCATCATAAAATATATGAGAAGAACATAACCCGTATCATGCCAACAACTGGTTTTAGAATAAATGTGTGTATTTCCGATGCAAAGACCCTATGAGTGAATCAATGTTAATACCAAAATATGCCATCTTTAGTGACCTGACAACAGTATTGTAACTATATCCCTTCTGAATAAGTCTGTTTAAATGTTTGGTTAGCTTTTGAGGTGAATGCCTACATTTTTGTGCTTTGAAAAGAATATTACCATAAAAGATTGGATGCATTAATGTCGATCTATTATTACCTGTATGAACATGTTCTTGGTTTTGGCAAATATTACTAAAAAGTATGTCGCCTTTATATTGTTTTAAGAACCGTGTTCGGCTATTTTTCAAGGAATATAGTTTTGTTAGGTGCTAAATATATTTTAAAATCGTATTTAAAGTTGATTTCATCAACCAAAAAAAGAAACTAATCATTAATGAATAAGTTAACGTATACCTGATTTAATCATAAGCACAAAAAGTGAAACCGGTTGTATGGTCATCCTTTTTCCATCCGGCAATACAACACATACTAAAGTAGAGCTTCCGTTTGGCTGTGCTGGATGTATACATACGCAACCACGTTCTGTCAGAATAGTGACATTTCTATAAAAATAAGTAGATCATTCTACAGACCAATTGAATAATATAGAACAAATTTCATATTGAACATTTCAGGAGGATATCTCTATCACCAGCACACAACCCATAACCGTACATTATAAGAGTACAAAAACCCAGCATGGTAGCGCATTCTACTGCATCTGCATGTGTATCACGAGCGACAAACCTGTAATCAATATAAAATAAGGAGATGTGGGATGATTGCCAATGAGACAACTAACCAGAGTCCAATGATTTGAGAAAAAAATGAACAGATATGATAGTGAAAAAGAGTTGGCACAGCCTCTCACGAGAAAACAACCAATAACTGTAAAATACATGGGCGTACACCACGAGCATGGAGATGCAAACTCTTCAATCAATATAAAAATAAGGAAGTGACATATAATTGCCAATTAGACAACTATTCATTGATCAAAGGACAATAAACTGAATAACATAGAAAAATACGAAAGTCAAAAATAGAGGGGATGGGGTGGGGAGGGGTCAGCTCTCTCCCAAGAAAACAACCCATAACTTCAGATATATTGCATACACCACAAGCACGGGGACACGTTCTACTGGTTTCACACAGCACAAGGGATGATAATTTGCTTTAATCTTATGACTAAATTCCAATTAACGAACTGTTCCATTCATTATTACAATTTTCGTTAGATTTTTTTTCGAAAGTAATTACAGAGTTTTGCCGCTTTGTACAAACATCTAAAATTAACGTCATAAAATGGCCGGAGTTATTTCGTAGTGCATTTCTTATAGACAATAAACGCAAATTAAATAGTATACTACTTTTGGGAAAAATTATATCAAAATTGTAGAAAATTCTATCAACATTAACTCAAAATATGGACAATTTTATGTTAAGGGTGTCTATAATTTAGTTTGACAGCTTCAGACATCCTAGTTTTTGTCCTGTTCAAACTGGACCAAAATACCGTGAAAAGAACAACCCAGTTATTATTCATATCAAAGGAGTCTCTCGCCAATGGTACTCCCACGGTTGGGAAAAAACGACTCATTTTTTTTTTACATGTAATTTCATCTCCCTATTTTCGAAGGTGTATGAAAAAATCGCAAGTTATACACGTTATGTCCTTATCTGTGTCCCCGGACCAAATGTGTTTTGGCGTTGCTACGAAGTCTGAAGACGCGTAAGGCGAAGTTTTGAGCAAAAGTATTCATGTTTTGAATAGCAACAGTCATTTGAATGATATTTGAATTACGCAATTTTCAAAAGTTTTAATTGAGTCGTTAATGTGACCTCAATGAACGTTTTGGATTTCACTTTTGAATATCATTATATTTTACAGACAAAATGGAATGTGAAAAAAATCCATGTGAAAACGGGGCTACCTGTTACGAGCAGGACAAATGTTTCTGTTCACCTGATTATTATGGAGAAAGATGTCAGTATAAAACAGGTAAATTGAATAACAATAAAAAAAAAAAATCGAAAAACCCAATTATTTCTATCAAACTAAAGGAACGAATTTGCCAATTTTTTTTAGGAAAATGCGTGGTTTAACTAAAAGAGTTAAAACTTTAGGTAAGGTTTTTATCGCATTTGTTTAATTTTCTCTTATAGGCAACAACCTTCTTTGCGTGTATTTAAAATTGCACTGTTTATGCACTTTTGAATACCAAATTATCCCAATAGTAGAATTCCGTGACACCACAAATTCATTAGAGATACTTGGCCTATGCTAAGACATATCACATTTTGTATGGATGTTGTGTTGTCTGCATTTTTATACGCCCGTCAAATTTTTGACGGGACGTATTATGTTATACAAATGTCCGGCGTCCGTCCGTCTGTCTGTCTGTCCGTCTGTCTGTCCGTCCGTCTGTCTGTCCGGCGTAAACATGTCGCACCGTAACTTGAGAATGACTTATCCAAATTTCATGAAACTTAACATAGTTGTTTCTTATGATGGTCAAACGATCTGTATACTTTTTGGTGAAAATAAGATTTAAACTTTTTGAGTTACGGGACTTAGTAACTAAAACAGGTGTGTGTTTTTTTTCACATGTCGCGCCGTATCTCAAAAACAATTTATGATTATTGCTTAAAACTTTACACACTTCTTAGTTATATTAATCTTAAGATCTGTATACTTTTTGGTGATGATTCAAAATTTTATTTTAGAGATATTGAGTATTTTGTTAAAAAAGGGGGAGGGGTTTTTCACATGTCGCGCCGTATCTCAAAAACAGTTTATGATTATTGCTTAAAACTTTACACACTTCTTAGTTATATTAACCTTAAGATCTGTATACTTTTTGGTGATGATTCAAAATTTTATTTTTGAGTTATTGAGTATTTTGTAAAAAAAGGGGGAGGGGTTTTTCACATGTCGCGCCGTATCTCTAAAACGAGTTATGATTATTGCTTAAAATTTTACACACTTCTTAGTTATATTAATCTAAAGATCTGTATACTTTTTGGTTTTGATTCAAAATTTTATTTTTGAGATATTGATTTTTTTTTTAAAAGGGGCGTTTTCACATGTCACGCCGTATGTCAAAAACGATTTATGATTATTGCTTAAAATTTTACACACTTCTTAGTTATATTAATCTAAAGATCTGTATACTTTTTGGTTTTGATTCAAAATTTTATTTTAGAGATATTGAGTTTTTTGTAAAAAAAAAAGGGGGGTTTTCGCATGTTACGCCGTATGTCAGAAACTATTTATGCTTATTGCATAAAAATTCACACACAAGACGACGGGCGTATCATGCGCTCACGGCGCAGCTGTTTATTTTAATTTCAGAATTTTGTATTCCGTGATTGATTAATAACTGATAATAAAACCAATTCCGTCTTCTTTCCAAATGCGGATCTAATGTTATTAGAGTTGTCCCCCTTTGCCTTACCAGTCTGGCGTGATATTCAAACATGTGAGATATCGATCGATCAGTTAAAACTTAAAAGAGGCGCTTTCAGTTACTAGGTTGGTTTTACAGAATTCAGTCCCTACATAATATGTTATATATGAATAAGCTAAATAAAAATGTTCTTCCCATGAGTGATTTATAAAGTAGTTAAACATAAACTATGTTTGATTTTTTGTCAGTAAAAAGATTGTTTCTGTTTGCATTTTGTATAAGAATATATTTTAATTTATATCCCAAATATTGATTACTACGATTTTTTCTACTTATATTTCGGGGTTTACTGTAGCAACAACATGGGGTTTAGTTTCTACCTATTTCAAAATCGGCGAAATAGTTTTGTGTCAAAAAAAAATTAAAACATTTGCGTTGAAATTTTCAAAATGTTCTTACTGAGTTTGTGTTTGATTCAAATGATGTTTAGAGGGTGGCCCAGTATATATGCAGGGCATTGTCTTTGTCGGGCTTTTCTACAAATGTTTGTTTTGTTTCCCATATGAATTCAATATAATATTACATTGACCTTTGTAGTGCAAGTTCTTTTTCTATTCCAAACATTTAACTCATTTACGTGCTTGCAGTTTCTCAAGAATGTTTAGGTTCTGAAATGAAAATGGCGTTTGTCGTCCCAGACACGTTTAGTGGAGAGATTTACCTTAGTGAGGATGCAGACAACTGTAAATTCAATCAGATGGAATCAGGTGTTTCCGGATTAAACAAGTACTCTTTGTCAATTCCGTTTAATTCCACTGATAATTTGTGTACACAGTCTATCAACCAAACAAAAGATGTACCAATGGTAAGATTTGTGTTTTCCCCTCCAAATTATCACATCTGTAGTTATTTTGAATGTTTACGTATACTACTATTTTATATTCAGACAGTTAAAAAAAGCATTAAACTGCAGTTTTATTGAAATGAATTACATACCCTACATATGTTTAGAATATAAGTAAACTTCAAAAGATGAAACACCGTAGCATAGAAAACCCAAGAACACTGTCAAGACAGACAAACAACACATGAAAGATATAAAATGTGCATTGACGTTATACATGCACTAACTTCTCGAACATGAACACAATCTTTTAAAGGATTAAGTTAACGAAGGGTTAGAATTGGGCCTAAGATTTTGATCAAATACTAAAAATTTCATATAGAAATAGTTGGGATAAAACTATCAATACATTGGCACATCACTTTAAAAATAACGAAGAAATGATCACTCAAGTATGCATTATTTGTGTTATAACATCTGTTTTGGTCATATTTTAAATAATTCTGAACAGTTTTTTTAAAACATAATTTACTATGGCCGCCACCCCTGATCCAGAAAGTGTTTGTGTCTAGTGATTCAATATCGTCATTGGCAACATTTGGCTATAGAACATTTTAGATCCTATGTTGCGGCCAAGGGTATCCTCAAGCTTTAAGGTTCAAAATTGCAGAAAATCATTGTTTTTTTGACAATATGCCCAAAATTTGCTGACTTTGAAGCCTAGAATGTACTCTAATGAAGATATTTGTTTAACCTAGTAGTAAGGCTTTTGAAATTGATCCATTTAAGAACCAAAATACGGCCATTTTGAAATTTTATGATAAAGTTATAATTCAAGGCCATATACTTGGCCTAAGGTTAACCTTGTCCTTTATTGGATTTGATGAAACGTCGATGAATCAGCCATCCCAACATCACACAAAAATAGACGTTTAGAGGTATCCATGCATGTACCGTCGTCAAACGTCAATGTAACAGCCATCCCAACATCACACAAAAATAGACGTTTAGAGGTATCCATGCATGTGCCGTCGTCAAACGTCAATGAAACAGCCATCCCAACATCATACAAAAATAGACTTTTAGAGGTATCCCGTCGTCAAACGTCCAAGCTATATGTTGCTAAAAAATTGATTTATGATAAATATGATTTTCTGGGTCCATTTGGTTTAAATGTTGGAATTGTACTTCTCCAACTTTTAGTCATAAACGTAACTGGTGACTTTCGTTGTGGTGATAAGTTTAGATAATTACTCATAAGAATCCGTCATTTTGACTGCCAGAAAATAATTGCGAGACATTCCAAAATTTTATTTTGTTTCCCCATAAGATGCAACATACATAAGAAAACAAACGAAAAACTTGATTTGACTCGTAATTTCATGTTTATAGCATACCAATGAAACTTTAAGAGCTAAATGCTACGTTTTGTATAGTTACGAGGTCGTAAACAAGTATTGAGAACACATTCTGCGCTTTGTACACAATGTGCTTCCGACCGGTCGACGTTTTAACACCCAAATAAAATTACAAAAAGAAGCATTTAAAATCACGAAAAAGGAAGAAAATAATATGCATTCGATAGTTTTGCTGCAGACTGATAGTTATTTATTAACACATGTGTTGCTATTCCTTTTGAACTTTTGAAAATGTATAGTTGGAATGCCTGTAGAATTACAAATCCCTGGAACCATTCTTTATAACAATGAATTGTGTTTTTTATCGACAGGAGGGAGATGTAAGCCGATTTGTGGATGTCGTGGTCAGTTATAACCCACTGTTTATATCAAGTACCGATAGTATCATCATATATAGTTGTATCCACAAAGGTTCCAATTTTACTATGTTTGCTGAACTCGATGATGTTGGTTTAAATGAAAGGTTAGTTTGAGATATATCTATGATGTTTTTACTTGAACAAAACATCGTCACTTTAACTTGACCTCTGTTATTAATTGTGTTCTATTGTGAAATCGTGTACCGGTAGAGAAAGATCACTTCTTGATTACCATCATCATCATCAAAAGAAAAAACTCAATAAAATAATAGGTTTTCTTTCTCGAAATAATAAAAACCTCTTAAAACTAACATACATTTATCATGTCTCTATCAAAGTCGTATGATTAAAATAAAAAATATTTATCTTCAATTATAGTTGCATCTACATTTCTGTGAATTTGTTTTCACTATGCCAGGTTATCCAAAGTGATTAAAAACTGTTCTGGGTTACCGTTAGTTGTCTCATTCTTCAGGTTCGTATCATGTGTTTTGGTTTGTTGTCAGTCGATCAAACATTTCTCAGTGTTTTGTCATCTTTTTGTTTGCACGAGTGTTTGTCAGTGGTAAAGGTTAAGTTAAGGTGAAAAGGTACAAACCAATCGTAGTGAAAATAGTATTGCAATGTAAAATCTAATGCTTATATATTTTGAACTATCTTTTAATACTAGGTTATATAGTTTATGTAAGCATAATAGTTTCTTTACATTGTATTTATCACAACCAGCAATACACGTAGGTAAAACAAAGAAACTGTTTTACTTTACCTACATTAATATCATTTACACTATTAGTTAATATACAAATGTATACAACAACAAGATAATTATTTAGATTTTTTTTCAAGAACAAACTTAAAGAAAAACACCCTTTCTGGAACCTATTTACCTGTGAAGTTTGCAGTCCAAAATAAAGATGGCCAGCCATTAGATAAGCCTCTGTTTGTGGGAGACATCTTTAAGTTATTATTCTACCTTTCAGATACGGATGGTATGTAGTTTTAATACAGTATGAATGGTTTAATTAATGAGTAAAAGAAACTACAGATGTAAATTGTAATAACAAGATTGTTTAGTACAAAACCACTGCATATGCTTACATACTTTAGAATTAACTCAATTTTTGGTTGCGGATTTTTATGTGCTTACTGTTTCTTTTGTTTTTATCCAATTTGCTATTTTAGATCTATATAATTATCCATTCCATATAAAAATAGAACAACATTATTTGAAATGCTGACCCTATTTATCGCCTTAAACACATTAAGACCTTACCGTTGGTTTTGGAACGGAATTTTGAAATATTCCAATAAAAATGATATATAATTGCTTTTTTTCAGTGTATGAAACTCTGAGAATTGACAACTGTATAGCCAATAACACGTTGGCAGGGAAGCCGTTACAGTTTGAATTTGTTAAGGATGGGTATGTACATATCATAAGAGCATTTGAATAGTTATTCACTTACCAATACATTTCATAATATTATTCATTATAACTTATAGTTCCAATAGATAAATGTTGTGAAAGATTTATAATTCATATCAAATTCAGTATATATTCACAAAAGCATTTATTTGTGCAAGAATTCCTTCTCGCAACGTCACGAATTGGATTTATCAATGTGTGGGCTTTTTTTTTCTATCACCCTTCACTCAAGACAACCCTTATTACAGGACCTACCTATTGCATATATTGTTAATTTATTCTCGAGCATGCATGCAATATTTGCCACTGGACGAAAAGCAACATTGATCAATCAATCTTTTTAATGTTGGCTGTTTCTCTATGTTCTATTTTCATCATCAAACTCATTTAGAGGCAACATGCAAAAACATTCTGAAGTGTCCAATAAAAAAATGTGAAAGATACCAAAGGAACATTCAAACTCAAAAGTCGAAAATAAACTGACAACGCCAGGGCTAAAAAAAAAGACCAAAAGAAAAACATCAGTACACAAAACACAACATAGAAAACTAAAGACTGAGCAACTCGAACCCCACTAAAAACCGGTTTTTTATCTACTTTTCGTTCATGAGAGAGCACAATTTTGTAAGAAAGAACAAATCCTTTACTAAAATATTTTCAATTTCCGTTTCAAAGTTCCTACATACAACACATTATGTATGTGCCTGTCCCAAGCCAAGAGCTGTAATTCAGTGCTTGTATTTGGTTACCATCTACCATATTTGTTTTTCGTTTATTTTTTTGTACATACATCAGGTCGTTGGTTTACTTTATATTTTGTCGGGGCTTTTTACAGCTTATTTTACGTTATGGATTTTGTTCATTGTTGAAGGCCGTACGATGACCTATAATTGCTAACATCTACGTCATTTGTCGGCGGTCGATATTTTTTCCATTCGAAATCATACCATTTCTTCTTATTCTTATATAATAATGTAATGTAGATGCCCCACTGATGACGGAAAGAACATTATGGTGAATACAGAAGGTCCACTTGCAGCTAAGTACTTAAAACCTGGTTCAACAGAAGTACTACCAGCTTCAGAACTCTTCATGTACGCGTTCAAATTCAAAGGAACAACAAATGTTGGCTTTAACTGTGCTGTTAAAATATGTAAAAAAGGAGAAGCAAGCTTTTGTAGACCTGTAAGTATTCATTTTTATGGAATACTTTTGTATAACTTCCGTAAATTGCAAGTGGCCCAGAATACTCTGTTAAAAAATAAAAGATAAAAAAAAATATATAAATGATATATAAAAAAGACTTTAAAGTCATATGAACCGAAATTCTGGTAAATATAGTGTTGAAAAAATTGTTGTACCAATGCATGCTAGTTGTCTCATTGGCAATCGTACCACATCTCCTTATTTTCATATAAATTAAACTAAGTCCTCTGTCATGTTGTACTGCATTTATTACAAATCAAAACAGTATAATGAACAAAAAATATAGTTCATACTATGATTGTTGATCGAAAATTTACCCTGCAAATTTACTTTCGGGTTTTGGTTCCGAAGTTCACTGATCGTTACCTATTGATAAACAATCAACACAGAATTATTGGACAAGTGAAAAATATGTGATTACAGGGCGAAATATATATTTTTTTTATGTTTTCCATGCGTTCCAATTTGTTAATTAACTTTCTGATAACATTTGATAAATAATTTGGTGTATTTCAATTGTTATATAAGAATCGGTATATGCTATCTTCTTTCCACGTTTGTTTACCGTTTCGTGCATCACGTTTTACCCTTGCATTTGCGCTGTGCTATTGCCGAATTTCTAACGAAAGGTATCATGGTTAAGGTCACTGAATACGGAAAAACTCTAGGCGAATCAGACTACGGGAAGACAATAATTCAATAAGAGTACAACTCTGAAGATTTTGAAATAAAGGATTTCCTTTTGTAAGAAAGTCTGTGTACACGTTATTTTTGTAGTACAACTTAGTTTCCTAAGTATATAAAACATATTCAACGTTTTCGTTAAATTTGAGGTATCATATGACTTTAGTACCATGCGATACTTGTATAGATTTATTTATCAATAACCTACAAAAGTCTATATTTTAGTTTGTCAAGTTATATATTCTTTTGCAGCGTGACTGTTCATCGCCAGTTAGAGCACCAACAACAGTTACTACATCTACTCCCACAGTTGTCCACATAACGTCTACTCCAGCGTTAGTCCCCGAACTGCAGGATAGTACAGATACTGGGAACGAGACTTCAATCAATATCACCCAACCATCCATCCGAAGAAAAAGAGATTCAAATTATGGGGACAGACAATTTGTATCAGCAGTACTAACTATTAAAGAGCCCTCATTAGACGAAGTACTCATTTTTCCTAAAATTGGACGAGAAAATACCAAAATAGGTAAAGTATACTTAATACAATTAGTTCAGTATAATTATAGAACAATTATTCGTATATAAATGATCCTCGTTTTAAATTTTTTTTCCCAACAATTATTGTTTTACTTTGTTAGCTATGAGCTTGCTACCGATATGCGGTCGGTCGTTGTAATCCGTTGTTGTCGTTCTTGTTCGTAAACTTTTTCACATTTCAACAAATTATGACTGAATGATACTGCTTATGGTTAAAAGGAAGTAAATAAAGATGATTGGCGCCACCTAGATTTCACATCCAAGATAATAGGTAGAAGTAAATTTATTTTCTGCTGCCCTAGTAATTAGAAATCAAAATTGAAATAGTGAGAAATGAATGTTGGCCATTGGTGTAGAAATAGCGAGAAATTTAGAGAAAACTCTCTGTGACGAGAAACATTTTCTGTGCCAAATTTAGCAAGGGGTGTTCTTCGTTTATACTATGTATTTCGGAAATTCCGGAACCGTTAAGTACCCTTAAAAAATGCCATTTTTCTATCAAAAAAGCTGCGGCACCATATGTGTTTTGCAGTTTCAATTACACCCAAAGGTGTTGATAATTCAGATTTCGACATTTTTTTTCAATGGATCTTTGATAGGGAAAACGCAGGACCAAAAAAGGCTACCATTGTCGCCTATGTAAATAATTACTTCCTTGTAACCTTATCAATCAACAATGCTGTCATGGCTAAAAATAGAACATGATACTGAAATTATCAGATGACTCCTGATTGATTTATTGCCCTTAGATGTCGATTTTAACCTAATTTTGCGTTTTTGGCTAATACATTTTATTTTGGAAACTACCCCCGTATAATAGATAGATAGAAAGATCCGATAGTAAAAATAGTCCGCTACCTCAGTACTTAAGTTAGACCAAAACTATGAAATTGTCAATCGACTCCTTTAAGGAGGTACTACTGTCCTTGAAGTACAAGGTTTTTCATTATTTTGCGATTTAGGGACATTTTCTGGAAAAGTAATATGCAGGCGAAAATTGTAAACAGCAAATGTGATCAGCAACATAAGATCTACAATAAGTCTACATGACATAAATAGTAAATCAACACCTTTTAGAAGTGATTGCCATTACATTACTAGTTTACCCGCTTCTTGTGTTTTCGGCAATTATGTTGAAGCTATAATAGATGTAGGGAAACTATACATCGACAGTGAAATTGGATAGAGAGTAAACAGTAAATTAAAATAATCAGAAAATTAAGATCTATTATAAAATAAGTTAAACAAAACTATCGAAACTTTAAATTAGTTATTGCCATAGAATTACAATTTTTTGCCTTAGTATATTTTGCACTTTTCGCTATTATTCTTCAAAATCTACAAATAAGTCACAACCACCAAATTGTCAATCGATTCCTTATAGGAGTTTTGCCTTAAATTAAAAAAATACCCTTTCCTACGATTTTGGCAGTTATTTCTAAATTATAATGGGTAAACTGTAAAAAGCGAAAAATGATCTGCCCGATGAGTCAAATCACCGAAATTGTCAATCCTTATAAGAGTAATTGCCCTTAAATGATATTTTTACCTATTTTCTTCTTAATTATAGTTGATAAGGAGAAACTGTAAACAGAAAAAATGTTCAGCAAGATATGATGTTCAAATAAATAAAATAAAGGAATTTGATAATTGTCTGTATATAGAACAATGGGCCCATAAAGAGCGATTTTTTTACTCCAAATATTGTGTTTTTTGCTATCATCTTTGAAAACACTTATACATCTAGAGAAACTGTTTAAAGGAGTAAACTTAATTAACAAGGAGATAAGCAAAATTCGTCAAATGACTCTGAGTAGAAGTTATAACCCTATATATATAAATAACACATAGCTGAGAGGGTGATAGAGCAGATTGTTACCCCTCGAAAAGACATAGTCAACCTTGGCTCCGCCTCAGTTGTCAATGTTTTCTCGGGGTAACAATCTGCTCTATCACCCTCTCAGCTATGTGTTATTTATATAATGTTTACCCACTTTTTTTAGTTCTGTAATATTTTCTTTAAAACTACATTTGTATAATATACTGAGAAAACAAATATATTTTATTGAGATTTACTTTGGACGTATGATTTCATATCTCACCCACCATTACATTTGATAAACAGGTACTATTAAGAGTCGATGACATAAAAGAGGAAAAAAGAAACGCCTTTCGTCAAATTGAGATCCCCCCTTATTTTTTTCCCTTTTTGGATAAACACATTTTTTGGTTTACTGTAGCAGAGCAATGAAAATAACAATTTGTAAATTTTGTACATCCAAAACGGTTTTCTAAATTCACCTTCATCGGGAACACTTAAAAACAAAAATGTTGAAAGTCAGAGACGAAAAAATGTATATGTACTTGACTAGCTATCTAACAGAGGGACATACACAGAATAGAAAAACAAAAATCAAACTAACTATCATTTCTTCGTTGTGCTTTATAAAAATGTTACGCTTGTTTGGGAAAAAAATAATTTACTGCCTAAGATTCGTAAACAACTTGACAAAGTGCAGTAGTCTTCTTATACTATTCTCAGCAGAATAATTTTGAACAAGGCATACATTTATAGAGTACCAAAGTAGGATTGAATGTTATTCTTTCATAAACATTCAAAGCGTTTTTTTCACATGACCATATCATTACAGTAATAGTACAAATTGTATTGTTTGTCGGAAAACTTTTGTTATAGTTTTTTTTTAATATAGATGTTATAGATATATTTTGAAATTTCAAATTTACAAAATAGGAAATAGACATGTAACACATTTACATTTAGGTATAAAAACTTAGATTTTATTAATTGTTATTTTGATGTAAACATCTATCAAAAGTTACAAGTACTGTCTATTTTCTATGCATTTTAGCGACTGATCAAGAAATCAAAACATTTGTACTTTAATATATAAAAAATAAATAAATGATATTTTAATTTAGTTTAAATTGCTGTTATATTGAAGCATTCCATATTTAAAAAAAATCATTTTGAAAAAAAACATAAATATAATAATATATAATAAAATGATAAAATAAAGACATGGAGACTTTTATCACTTTCCTGTTGAAACAATACTATCATAATCAGACCTCAATAACTCATATATTATAATATCAACAATCGAGGGGTCTGCTACGGAAACTTACTGCCATATAAAACTTCTGTCCTCTGTATAGTGACAACCCAATTTACCTGCCCTTCACCCCAGTTGATTTTCTTTTCACCTACCTATTAGTATAATTTTACTTTGTTTCGTCTTGAATAAGCATTGCAATATTTTCCACTGCACTATTAGCAAACAACCATCAATCAACCAGGACAGATTCGCTGCTCCCGACATAACGCTAAACATGTGGAAGAAGTAAATGCTAGTTGTCTTTTAAGTTTTTGTTTTTCAAGCTTTAGAAAGGGTATATTTTCTCCGACATGGCCACATCTAATTAATTTGTTGTTTCAAGTTAAAAAAAAACAACAACAACAAAAAACACGTACACAATGTAGTGGACGAGGTTATTTAGTTTAGATATTTGTTTTTATAAGTTGTTTAGTCTTTGATTGTTTTTCACTATTCGTCATATAATTAAAATGCTTATATGAACCAATTCTAATAAAATTCGCTGATTGAAATAAAATATATTAGGAATGTCATACAGTCTGCTAAATGATTGGTTAGTTGATTGATTGGTGTTTAATGCCACTTTCAGCACTATTGTGCTATTTCGTGGCGGTCAGTTTTTGTTGGTGAAGGAAGCCGGAGTTCCCGGAGAGAACCAGCGACCTTCGGTAGGAAAACTGACAATCCCAGTCAATTCAGACTGGAATCGAGTGCACCTGCCAC